GAAGTAACTAGTAATGTAACTAAGTTACTAATTTAAAGTAACTTATCCAACACTGGGCATACTAGATCTGCTTTGCACCTTGCTGCAGTTTCAGGCTCCAGCAGGTAACTCACTGTGCTTGGAGGTGAACCCTGCTGGCTCGAACCAGCTGACTGTTGGTGTGTCACCCAGTAGCAAAATCTGCTGGATTTAAACATTCACTACAGGCAAATGCAGAATTTACAAAAAACTTTTTTCCAACAAAGTACAAGTGAAAAAAAGTGAAATAAAAGTTAATGTTGGCAGCAAGGTGGCGTGGTGATTATCATGAAGGTCCTAGTCAATAAGGAGGAGCAAATATGAGTGTGAATCGTTGTCCGGATCACTGTGTTAGCCTTGTTTTGTCTTTCTGTGCTGGTGGCCTGTCCAAGTATACCCTGTGTCCTGCCCTATGGTAGCTGGCGTAGGCAAAGATGAAAAAAAGCACAATCATCCTCAGTAGTTACTGACTACTTGTATTGTCAATACTTTTATTGTTAATACCAATAAATCATACCATGTTGCCTGTTAAAATGCTATAAATTTCTAACCATATAAAATGGCATTTTTTGAGTCACTTTGTACCTATATCTCTTCTGAGTGCTCCCACAGAGACCACTGTTGCCCTTAATTTCCACACCTTCTCTAGCTCTACTCTCAATCTCTGGTATTTTGTGAGGTTCTCATCATGCTTGCTGATGTTCCTTCATCCCATTTCAGCACAGTGAACATCTTGTCCTGATATCTTCTTTGGTCTTTCACTTGAGGTTGAAGAATAGTTGTAGAATTAAAAAAAAAAGCTTGTGAAAGCTAGAATCAAATTAATCCTTAAGTTGTTGCCAATGAAAGTTTTGTCAGGTAATATACTTGACAAAAATCTGCTGTTTGTGGTCTCTCTGTGCTCATCTTCTTCTCTTCTTCCCCTGGTCTGCCTCTAACTAAGCCTGGTGCTGCCAGAGGTCTCTTCCTGTTAAAAAGTTCCAACTGTTGCCAAGTGCTCACTTATAATAATAATAATAATGGATTGCATTTATATAGCGCTTTTCGAGGCCCTCAAAGCGCTTTACAATGCCACTATTCATTCACTCTCACATTCACACACTGGTGGAGGCAGCTACAGTTGTAGCCACAGCTGCCCTGGGGAGGACTGACAGAAGCGAGGCTGCGATATCGCACCATCGGCCCCTCTGGCCATCACCAGTAGGTGGTAGGGTAAAGTGTCTTGCCCAAGGACACAACGACCAGGACAGAGAGCCCGGGGATGGAACCTTCCAGTTACAGATGCGCTTCCCAAAACAGTCTGCATTTAAAAATCAGTCAATCAATAAAAATGTCTCGTCTGTTTTATTTAAATAATGATTTCAGTATTCAGACTTGTCAGGTAGCAACAATACATAAACATGTGAAATTATTATTTTAAAAATTTCTCTGACGTTATTGGGGAGCAAATGTGTTATTAAAGAAAAAAAACCCAAATAACCATAACCAATGAAAGTATGGTATATTAGTTTGTCCACATGGTGGCAACATATGGTTAAATTTAGTTGACATCATCATCGTCTTCATCAAAGACGTCAGCTACAGTCCTATGGAAAAAGAAATAGAGATGTGAATGACTGAATTTCAGAATAACTTGAGCAGGCTTAAAGCCAGTGTGAACAGCACTCACTTGTAGATCGATCCAGTCACTTCATCCAGAAATCCTCCTGAATAAAAACGATGAACCATTAGTGAGCTGGAGACAACCAATGACAAAGTCAACATATATGATCAGATGGAAAACTGTTACCTATTGTAACTTTCTACTGCAGTTTGAGTTAACCAAAAACATGTTCCTCTCAGGATTACAAATGCTGGAACACATTGGATCATAATTGGAAAACCTAATTTGATCTAATCTGCTGAGGGATGGCAATTCTTCATTTTGCTTGCAGGATTACCTCTTTCCTCTTTAGCAACCACCTGTAGCAATCTCTGTGGACTGGCAGATGTTATGTCCACCAAAAAGGCCATTTTAAGGAAATGCCATTTCACATGAGCATCCTTGAGCAGCTCAAAGGGACAATGCTGAAGTGCACCAAGGATCACATCCATGTCCCATGGAGGAACTGGAGGTCCAGTCCTGCGAAATGTAAGTTGCTGGGCACTCCTAAGAAACCAGGAAATTAGGGAGAGGTCAGTCCCACTGAGTGCTGAGCAACCAGTGTGAACCACCTTGATTGCTGTTACCATACCTCGCTGGGTAATTGCAGATCAGCTGGGAAAGCAGGAACTACAGGATGGTCTTAAATGTAGCCTCGTAGTGGTCCAACTATTGGACCGCACATCAGGAAGCAAAAAGTCACCAGCGGTAGGGGTAGGCAGACCTTGTGGATGGTGCACAGATTCCTGCAAATTTCATATCACAGGTTCAGGCAACCCTAAGGAAAGGTGCCTTTCAGGGGCCAGGTTATCACCCTGAGCCCTGCCAGGAAGGGCTGGAAAAGCATACCGCTTATTTGAGACAGGAGGTCCCTTTGGAAGGGAAGCTCTCATGGGTCCCATTCAGTAGCAGAGGGATTGCTGAAAACCAAGGCATGTGGGACCAAGAGGGGCCACCAGGATCAACCACATCTCCTCGGTCTGGACTCAGTGGAGGACCAACTGGAGGAGGGAGAATGGAAAGGAATGCATAGAGTCTGGGGGCAAGGGTGTGCACGGGTGTCCCACCCCAGAGGCAGGTCATCATTCTGGAGGGAGAAGAAACAATGGCATCGCGTCAACTCCCTGGACGAAAAGATAGAAGTTTGCCCTTCCAAAGTGATGCCAGACCTGGTCAACCATCTGTGGATGGAGTCTCCACTCTCCTGGACTCGGGCCCCCATCAACTTAATGTCCACGTTCAATGGCCCTGCTGCATGTACCCAAGCAAACTCAATGGAACAGGGGATGAGCACACTGCAACAACCTGTTAGCCATCCTGAAGAGGAGGGGGGGAACCTAGGCCTGTTGATGTAGGCTGTTGCAACCATTGTGTCTGTCCTGATGATAACATGGTACAGCTCTAGTGAGGATGAGTTGCCTAGTGGCTGGTTCAATAGCCATTTACCGCACAGCCTTAGTGGACCCTACCCAAATTGACTTGGAAAGTGTCCGTGAAGACCAGCTGACGGTGAGTCACCAGACCTACTGCATGACCCTGGTCTAAGTTGGTTGAGTCCCTCCACCAATGGAAAGCTCAGTGGAGACCACAACTTTTACCTAGTGAGACCGCTCCAGGCACAGGCTGGAAGGGGGCTAGCCGACCTTGCTCCAGGATAGGTCAGGGGAGAGGGGGGTCGCTGGAGGATGTCAGAGCCTTGGCTGTTCATCCTCCTTCTTTCCATGTGGGTGCGCACCACGTCTACAAAAGCCAAGAGCCGAACTACTAGCTCATCAGGTCCTTAATGTCAGGCACCTGCATCTGGGAAGGCCGGAAATGTCCAGTGTCCTCAAAACTGGGAGCAGGCGCCACAGAGTCCTCAGGAAGGGCAGATCTCTGGATGCCCTTCTAATCACATTCAATCGCTGGGGCCAGTGAGGAGCTCCTAAAGGGTGGCTCTTCGACAAGCCTAGCAGCAGGGGAAGGGAAAGACACCTGCCAAGGGTCTGGGCACTCCCCCTTGGTCTGTGAGGCATCCACTTTTCCAACTTTAGGCATATCGAAAAGGGGTGAGTCTGCACATTTTGTGTCAGAAAAGTGAGTACAGGTCAGTCCATACAGGACTAGGGGTTTTTCCCTCACCAGCAAGGCATGTTGGTACCCAATCACATCGCACCTGTTATGCCATCATCCAGAGGCATAGAAATGTCAAATCCCACACAGTTATGGCACACAGGGCTTGCCATACTTGCTGGGAGAATGAGGCAGCCGTAACCATGAAACAGCGAGATAAATACTGCTTTTTCCTAAGCTAAGCTAAATAGCTCATCTCTCTTTGCTGATCTTCATGTTCCCCTGACTGTCTTTCATACAATTTTCTTTTAGCTTATATTGTGAAGGATGCTTGGTGAGAAGGGTTATGCTAAGCCACTCGGTGTGAAACTCACGATCGTGAAAAACAGACTGGGCTCACCTAGCAGACCAGAGAAACCCTCGCTCACGGGGCTAACAGCATCAGCCACAGCAAGGACCCAATGGACATGTAAACCAGTGAAACCACAGGCAATATGCCAGAAGTGATCACAGCCAACTAGAGCTACAGAGGAAATGACAGCAATCCTGGGAGGCTGCCAACAGACAGGCTCCCCACCATAAAGGTAACAGACACACACTGTACCACACACTCTTCCAGTACACACACTTCACTGTAAAGTGAAGCTCAAATGATCGATGATTTCAAGTCTGAACAGCTGTTTTATAGATAAGGGGCATGGCCAGGCAAATTGGAGTATCTTAAAGAAGAAGCTACACGCCCTGACAAAGGGGATCATTCCATGTTGAGTATGTAACAGAGTTTAGAGATAGAGACAGAGACAACTAGAAAAAGCATTTCACAGCAAATATGCAATATACAATACCATACCAACGGTACACCAAAGTGCTTCACAATAAAACAGCAGGTTAAAACATGAATAATATAAGACCATTAACAAAGCATTGAATATGCCAACAGGTCAATGGCACTAATTACGCAAGAATAAAAGTGAATATCAAACCAAACTTGCTATAAACACATGGGTATTAAGTAGAAGATATATACAAAGTTAAATTGTTAGTTAAGTATAAAATACAGGCATTAACTAACCAGAAAAGCAAGGTTAAATAAGTGAGTTTTTAATCGTGATTTAAATGATTGGATGGATTCAGACGCGTGAATAGCAATGGGAAGGTTGTTCCACAGCTGAGGCGCAACCAGGGCAAACGCACGGTCACCTCTGGTCTTAAGCTGAGATCTAGACTGTACCAAAGGTCATTGGGCTGATGACCTGAGGGCTGTCCCAGGGGTATATGGTCTAAGGAGTTTCGTCGAGATAGCTAGGCGCTGTATTGTTTATAATTTTGAAGGTAAGCAGCAATATTTAAAATTCAATATAGTATTTGATTGCAAATCCGCAAGGACAGGGGTGACAGAGGCAAACCTTCTGGCTTCAGTCAAAAGGCGTGCCGGAGCATTTTGGACAAGCTGCAATCTATAATATGAATGCTGAAAATTTGGAAATTTTACCTGAAATGCTTGAAACTATTAGAAATACTTAAAGTTGAATTTGCTGAATGGCTTAACCGCATAAGATTACCAAAATATAGAGTACCAAAAACTGAAAAATGTGATAAATAAAGCCAAAAAATTACTTAGACTGAGCTTCATTTGCTAAAAAAGCAAAAGTTGGTACTGAAGATCATCAAAATGAAGAAGTACTGAAAGTAATGCAGTACAACAAAAAATGACCTCAAGCAAGCTCAGCATGAGTCCACAAATTCTAATCAGACAGTTTTTGATTGGTGGCAGGATGTAAACACCCCTCTGACACACACACACACACACACACACAC